GCGTTCCCGTCGGGTTGTGCGCGTCCCTGCCGGGGTTGTGCGCGCCCCCGCCGGGGTTGTGCGTGCCCCCGCTGGGGTTATGCGCGTTCCCGTCGGGTTGTGCGCGTCCCTGCCGGGGTTGTGCGCGCCCCCGCCGGGGTTGTGCGTGCCCCCGCTGGGGTTATGCGCGTTCCCGTCGGGTTGTGCGCGTCCCTGCCGGGGTTGTGCGCGCCCCTGCCGGGGTTGTGCGGGCCCCTGCCGGGGTTGTGCGCGCCCCCGCCGGGCCGTACAAGAGGCCGTGCTGCACGCTACAGTCAGGAAACCGCTTGCTGAACGCCGCCACGCCGTCCGGCGTCACGGGCGTGTCTCGCACGTCGAGGCTTCGCAGGCCGGACAGCGGCGCGCAGCGCGCGATGCTGCGCAGGATGCGGTCGTCGAGGCGCCAGCATCCGCGCAGCGACAGCGAGCGCAGGCGACCATCCCCGCGGGTCGCGGGCAGCTTCGCCGCCAGCAGGGTGCGCCCCATGTCGAGGTGTTCGAGCTTGCGGGCCATGCGCGCGAGGAAGCGTGAGTAGCGCTCTATGAGGATGCCTCTCACTTCCAGCCTGATGAGGTGCTGGTGCGCATACATGACGTGCTGCAGCAGACAGTCAGAAAGCATATAAGTAAATTATAGGGAGAGTTGTGTACAAGAAGGATACAAGTAAACTATAGGGAGAGTTGTGTACAAGAAGAATACAAGTAAACGATAGGTAGAGTTGTGTACAAGAAGGATACAAGTAAACGATAGGTAGAGTTGTGTACAAGAAGGATACAAGTAAACGATAGGGAGAGTTGTGTACAAGAAGGATACAAGTAAACGATAGGGAGAGTTGTGTACAAGAAGATTACAAGTAAACTATAGGGAGAGTTGTGTACAAGAAGGGCTTGTACACAACTCTCCCTATTGTTTACTTGTATCCATCTTGTACACAACTCTCCCTATTGTTTACTTGTATATGGATACAAGTAAACAATAGGGAGAGTTGTGTACAAGAAGCATACAAGTAAACAATAGGGAGAGTTGTGTACAAGAAGCATACAAGTAAACAATAGGGAGAGTTGTGTACAAGAAGCATACAAGTAAACAATAGGGAGAGTTGTGTACAAGAAGCATACAAGTAAACGATAGGGAGAGTTGTGTACAAGAAGGATACCAGTAAATGATAGGGAGAGTTGTGTACAAGGTGGGTACAAGTAAACAATAGGGAGAGTTGTGTACAAGAAGAATACAAGTAAACTATAGGAAGAGTTGTGTACAAGAAGGATACAAGTACACGATAGGGAGAGTTTTGGGTTTTTTCAGACTTATCTGACACAGATCTATCAAAGAGAGATATACAGAAAGCTATGGAGAATAGGTGCAACTGGAAAGGAGTCATAAAGAAAAGCGTTCGAGGCTTCGAGCGAGCTCGAATCGATGATTTTTAGATAGATATGCATGCATGAATTGAAAATCGCCGCGTACACACCGACATCCTTGCATTTACCTATGCGGAGGCGATGCCCCACACCCATCTCACCTGGAGCTTACTCGTATCTCACCTGGAGCTTACTCATATCTCACATGTAGTTTACTCATATCTCACCTGTAGATTACTCATATCTCACCTGTAGTTTACTCATATCTCACCTGTAGTTTACTCATATCTCACCTGTAGTTTACTCATATCTCACCTGTAGTTTACTCATATCTCATATCTCACCTGTAGTTTACTCATATCTCATATATCTCACCTGTAGTTTACTCATATCTCACCTGTAGTTTACTCATATCTCACCTGTAGTTTACTCGTTAGTAGCAGTCCGGTGCCGTTATCCCAGGTTTGGCACCAGTTGAGACGCAGTGTTCGCAGCATGCCGCATCGTTCGCACATGTTGCACAGGTCGGCCTCGCTGAACCGACACTCTGACAGGTCGAGCGTGTGCAGGAGTCGGAACGAGGATGTGTGCAGCTTCTCTCCCGTGATGCTGTAGCGCTTCAGGAACTTGAAGGCGTCTGGTCGCAGGTGTGCGCCGCTGAGGTTCAGAACCTACGAGGCAAGAGATCGTGCGTTCACGATCCGCACGACTGACTTGTTGTCATCGATTGTCATCGATTGGTCGAGTGTGACCGTTGATCGGTTATGAAATTCCAACAGATTATCGTTACCATGATTAGCATTTATAGCGCCTGTTCGAATATGAAGTAGCTGTTTAAAAGAAGAAGTTTGCATCAAGTCAAAGCACAAGAAGGTTCACTCCTGAACCAATGACTGTGGGTGACGTGGAGTCCTTTTAGGTCAGTTAGTAACTGCGTGCCTGCGTGCGTGTGTGTGTGTGTGTGCGTGTGTGCGTGCGTGCGTGCGTGCGTGCATGCGTGTGTGCGCACCTCATATGCATACATCACAAGTTAACGCACCTTCGCTGTGTCGGGGAGGTATTCTAGATGGACGGCGTTCTTGGTTTTGCTGCGTCTCCGCACGTCCACTGGTCCACTAGTAGAACGCATCGACATGCCTGATGTCGATCACCGACTTGCTTGTGGTCCACTCGTGTGCTGTGCTCGCCGGTCCGTGTATCGCCAAGCTTCGCTTGTGTCAAGGGCATACAGGTCAGCCTGCTGCTTCGGAGTGTGCCGAGTGTGCTTGGCGTTGTCAATTTCTGGAGTCTCAAATAGGCGGTTACCTAGCAACTTTATACTACGGGTTTACACACACTCAGGGCCGTAGCCAGAGGTAAATTTTGTAGGAGGCAAATGTTGTGAGTTAAAGAACAAGGAGCGAATTAAGCGAGCCAATAGGGCGTGGGGTATGGGGCCCGCTTAAGGGCCCCAGAAGCCAATACTATCTGTTTGTCATTGTCATCTAATTAATTCTCGCGATATATTTATCTAATTGATATTTTTGTTTCTTTAATTTTTGTTTCTCGTAATTTTTTTTTTTTTGAGAAATTTTGTAGGAGGCATTTGCCTCCTATTGCCTAATGGTAGCTACGGCCCTGCACACGCTGAAATAGCACACACACACTAATGGTAATGTGTGAGGTGACAGTAGGAGAGTACAAACTAGTTTGGATTCTGAAATGAAGACATCGGGCTGTGCATGGAATATGACTATAGTCGCGTGTATACATAATAAATGACCCTATTTGCTTGGTTATCCATTTTAAGGCAGTTGTTAATCGCTTCGTAACAGTTCAGTAGTATTGTTTAATCTAATAATACAGTGTGTATTAAGGTTAATGGTTATTATTGTTATTTTCATCTTCCTCCTCCTCCTCTTCCTCATCCCTCCTCCTCCTGCCCCTACTCCATTACCTTCTCCCCTCCTCCTCCTGCCCCTTACTCTTCCTCTTCCTCCATGACCTTCTTCATTTGATCTACATCACCTTTTCTGCTCCTCCTCCTCCTCCTCCTCCTCCTCCTCTTCTTCCTCCTCCTCCTCCCCTCCTTCTCCCCTCCTCCTCTTGCCCATACTCCATTACCTTCTCCTTTCCTCCTCCTGCCCCCTACTCCTCCTCCATGACCTTCTTCATTTGATCTCCATCACCTTCTCTGCTCCTCCTCCTCCTCCTCCTCCTCCTCCTCCTCCTCCTCATCATCATCATCATCATCATCATCATCATCATCATCATCATCATCAGTAGTAGTAGTAGCAGCAGCAGTAGCATCATTACATTAATATACCATTCTGTACCATACCATACGAGTCTATGAAAAATCTAGATCTGAACTTACCATGCAGAGAATGTGTAAACTCACAGGCAGGTCAATTTCCTCTATAAGTGCACACCCACCTGAGCTGGTATATATAGCACGTATAGCTTCCACAGACTGAGCATTACTTCCATAATCTCATTGGCTAGAAGAGGTTTCACTATTTGGCACAAGTATTTGCACTGTATGTCATGAATTGAAGGGGAGGGCAATTGCAGTGGAAACTTAAAGTTTATTGTCAAACCTGTCATTTTGTTAGTGTTATAATTTGTTTATAATGATTTACAGGTTTATATATTAGGTATCCTGGATACGTAGCCATTTTGAGGAAGGAAATTGTGGTTCGTATCTTTGCAACCATAGCACGTTCCCACCCCTCCCCATTCCCAGTTGATCAGCCTAATATTACCAAACGAACAAGGAAACCTTTTTGGCCTAATGTTTAAAATATAGACATTTGAAATGCATGACTAGCCACAATTTAGTTGTAATTTTAATGGAAAAAGTTATTATTATCACATTTGATTTTGATTTTATGCAGTTATACAATAGCTTAACTAATATTAAGGTATTTGGCCAAGGTTTAGAATTTAGCTTGGTCATTTGTGATCTTCAGATTTGAAACACTTGTGGACCCTACCGTGCTTATCTAGCCATCGGGTTCAGAGTTCCGAACAACTGACCTACGAACAAAATTTTGAACGTATTACGTTCCAAATATGAGCCCCCCCCTCCATATATACATGCACTTGCTGCGCGTTTTAATTGGTATGGTAATTAATCACAAAACACTTTTTGCTTCTCAGTTCCATGGCTGCACTGTGTAAGTGCATGAACCGTAACGAGACGGCCAGCTTCTTCTACAGCTGTCAGCGACGGTTACGCCACATGTTGCCTCTCGGCTCGTACCTGCTCAAGCCGGTGCAACGCATCATGAAGTATCACCTCCTTCTCAAGGTAACGATTCTGTTTAGCTTAGTTCAGCTTTTTCAGCTTTATTTTTTAACGTTGCACGAATGTTGCCCAATAGAAAACATCTTTGAATAACAGTCAGATACTGTTTAGGCTCTGTTTTAGGGTCTTTTCGTAGACATCTCGATTTGAATTGTTCTACGAAATCTGTGTTATGTCTATTTAACATGGTTTGCTTGTTCATTGACTATTTCTTTTTAACTGTTAGCCTCAGTAAGAAAGTGGTTAGCAGATCCATAATTTTTAAGTGGTTCAGGTGGACGTCTGATTGGCCACAAAAATGTTGGACTAGAATTGGTGCATTCTGAGCATTCAGTGAAGCATAATCGAATTAATATATTAACTTCGAACTTTTTTTCTCAAAATTTCTCATCCATTCTCGTACGATATTATGGCTTACCATGTTGATTAGTTATTAAGAATGGACATCTCTTGGTATTTGGTGCATTGCTGAACGTAGCCACATAAGCCAAAGCCAAAAAGGTGGCCACATAATTTATCTCGGACTAGCGCTAACGTGGGGCTGCACTATTACAGAACATGTTGACGAGCTACGACGATGACGACAACCCAGAGGGCATGGCGACGATCGCTCAGGCGCTCGCTACGATGGAGAACATCGGGGAACACATCAACGAGATGAAGCGTAAGCACGAGCACACCGTGCGCGTCCAGGAGATACAGAGTCAACTCTACGGCTCCAGGGTGAGTAACACACAGCTCCAGGGTGAGTAACAAACAGCTCCAGGGTGAGTTTGCAGCCACAGCGACACGTGAAACGTAGCTGGAGAGCTTTGTGTGTTCGGGCGCATGCGATTTTGTGTGATCTCCTGGTAACGTAATTGCATCGCCGTCTTTCTTCGGCTGTTCGTTTACGTGATGGTATTTATCGGTGAATGTTTTTATCCGGCAGGGCGCGGATTTGACAACCTACGGAGAGCTTGTGCTGGAGGTAAACATTATTACTACTCATATACTTACTACTTATCACAGACAGGCTTGCGAATGAGCATTTTTTAGAATGCTCTGTAGCAATCTAAAAAAGGGACTACTGGATTGAATGTTAGAATACTCTGATATTACTGGGAACTAGAATAACTAGAATACTACTGGACTGGCTGTAGAGACTTGGGAAAGAGCATTTTGTCATAGATGAACTACTGGGTTGACTGTTACCCTCTCGTTGTCAGTGAACCGTTGTGATAATGTTGGATTTAATACGACAGGGAGAGTTTAGGATGGTTGGAGCAAAGGGTCTACGACAGCTCTTCCTGTTTGAGAAGATCTTGCTCATAGCAAAGAAGAGAGTGGTGGACGGCAGTAGCTACACGTGCAAGGCCTTCATCGAAGTATGTGCGGTTTTCTCTCTAACTCGCCCGCGAATCACAATTTTCTTGTTATCGGTAGTTTGTTAATCTTATGACTAGCAAAGACGTTCGTGCATATGCTTTCCTGCAATCGTCTATTCAGAATTTGTTGTTAGGCCAAAACAAAATATAGGTGTGGTTACGGTTTCCCGACCGACCCTATTTATTCCCAGCGACCCTAAACATTTTAATTGTCAATTTTCTTTAAAGTAAAAAAAAATCAAAATTTAAAAAAAAAATTTAGCAAAAAATGACAGTTTCTGCTTCAAAAGGCACAACGCACATCCTTCGGACATGGTTCGTAAATAAAATATTTCAAGAAAATAAAATGTTTTTCCTACCTACCTACCCTATTTTTTTCCGGCATGTAACGGTAACCACACATATATTTAGTTTTGGCCTTATCATTAGTTTGTTGATCATTTGGGTATCAAAGACGTTCGTGCATATGCTTTCCTGCAATCGTCTATTCAGAATTTGTTGTTATCATTAGATCGTTGATCATTTGGTATACTAAGACGAGGAGAGGGATGAAGGTGAGAAGGAGGGAAAATATGTGGTGAACAGTTGAAGAGAAACAATATAATGAGGTGGAGGAGGTGAAGGGGGAATGAAGTGCAATTGTCAGCATTGATGCATCTTATGATTTCACTGCCTCAACCAGATTATTGCTCTGGGAAGCAATTTCCCCCTAATTTATTATTAAAAAATTCCCCTAATTAAAAATATTTACTACTTCTGGACAAAAGACTATAATTTGCTGAATCGTTTGCAGTCTGGTACTTTAGCCGCGATTGTATATATGTGAAATGTGTTTTCTTATCTATCTACTAGGGATATCTGACCAGCATTTATGACAGTCAGGATATAAGGATAGATCCAGAGGATGTGTGTGCGCTGTTTGGCAACATTGAGGATATCCATAGTTTTCACAGGTATCACAAAATACAGCCCTTTGTAGAAATGTAGTACATCTTATGAGGAGTATCTCTACTCAGCTTAAGCTTTAAGAGACAAAACAATTTTAAGCATTTAAAGAAGAATTATATCGTAATATTCAGCATTATTTTACAGTTAAGTATGGATTATACTAATTTGTATTGGTCATGACTCATTAGATGCCCCGTGATTGCTGCACAAGCTAGGCAAACTTTACCATCTATTTTAGAAGCAGATTTTTTAGTTATTTCTTGTTTATAATGAACAAAAAGAATCGATTGATAATTTGTAGCATACGTAAACACTCATATAATTGTAACCGTGGAAGCTGCGTAATATCACTTACTGATAGAACATTAGATTTAAATTATTGCTCTGTGCAGTCATAAATAGTAAAAAAAAAGATTTATAGATATATAGATTTATCAATACAAATTTTTTATTGCAATGTACTCTCTCCATTTTTTTACTGCTCTCTTCCAGTTTTCTGCTGCAAGACCTGGAAGCTTGCGATCAAGATCCCGTTGAAATGGCCAAGTGCATTGTGAGCTACACACAGGAGCTAACCGACCACTACAGTGCATACTGCACCAACTATCCCACGTACGTATTCGCGCGCACCGAGCCACAACACACGCTCAGCAGCACCTCAGCATAACGACCGCTGTAGCGTGATAGACATCCCCCTCATGGTAAACGTCCCCCCCCCACCTCTACATTGTGGATGAACAGGCGGATGTCTAGGCGGGCACATGACGTCGTTTCACAATCACGTGGATCAGTCTTTCGTCTCATCACTCTCTACACAATACTGTACTCACTACTATACACGACTCTGGTCATGTTTATTATTATGGAAGAGATCCGACCGAGTATAAACCATGGCTGGGCGTAAACTTCCTTCTAAGCCTAAAAACCACGTCTCGCCCACGTTCGCACGCGCGTACTCGGGCCTCGTACGTAAAGCCATCAACATCGTGTGACCTAACGAGACATCGCGTGGGTGTCCCTCGTAGCGTCGGTACGAGGAGGTGGGAGTCGCCGACACGTTAGGGTGGTCCGCGCCCCCGCCGCACCATACAAGCGTAAACCATGGCACGCGCACGTACTCGGGGCCCGCGTACGCGAAGCGATCAACGATGTCCCAGCTTACGCGACAACCGGGCGAAGTTCGCCGATCCCTCGAAGCGCCGAAGGGAGGAAGGAGGAGGTCGTCGACGCGCCGGGGCGGTGCGTGTTCCCGCCGGGGCGGTGTGCGTCTCTGCCGGGGCGGTGCGCGCCCCCGCTGGGGCGGTGCGTGCTCCTGCCGGGGTTGTGCGGGCTCCTGTCGGGGTTGTGTGTGTCCCCGCCGGGGCGGTGCGTGCTCCCGTCGGGATTGTGCGGGCTCCTGTCGGGGTTGTGTGTGTCCCCGCCGGGGCTGTGCGGGCCCCCGTCGGGATTGTGCGGGC